TACCCATACATTTTGTAAAATATAGTTTTCAATAACATCTAATAGTTGTTTGTCGATTAAATTCGTATTGTGTTCCATTTGAAGAGAGAGTTATGTAATTCAGCTCCCCTGACGCTAGTCGTTGTTGTCCAACTTGCGTCCAACGTGTTTCACTGATCCCAAGCACCACTAGGTTGTATCTCCTCATCTCTGCAGCAATTTGGGAGACTCTCTCGATCTCCCACATTGTACGAGCATTCCATGTACCTAAATAAGTAGTTGCTCTGGTTGTCAGAACTCAAAACAACTGTCAACCAATACCATGGTCAGGATTTTTAATACAAATGTCAACACAGTTCTACTGTATGGGGCGGAAACCTGGAGAACTACGAAAGCCATCATCCAGAAGATACAGGTGTTTATTAACAGTTGTCTAGGTAAAATACTTCGGATCCGTTGGCCGAACACCATTAACAACAACCCAATGTGGGAAAGAACAAACCAGATCCCAGCGGAGGAAGAAGCGCTAGAAGTAGATAGGACACACATTGAGGAAAGCACCCGACTGCGTCACAAGACAAGCCCTCACATGGAATCCTCAAGGCCAAAGGAAAAGAGGAAGACCAAAGAACACATTACGCCGGGAAATGGAGATAGACATGAGGAGAATGAACAAGAATTGGATGGAATTAGAAAAGAAGGCCCAGGACAGAGTGGGTTGGAGAATGCTGGTCGGTGGCCTATGATCCAATAGGAATAACAGGCGTAAGTAAGTAATGTAATTGAGCACACACTAAGTATATGTACTTATATTGGAATAGTACAACTTTATCGTGTACAATTCCTACTGCACAATGGGGATAATAGACGAAATTTCCATCACTGTCTTCAATATATATATCCCTTGAGTCAATACCAATGGATAAACGGTTAAGATAATGTAGTTGGGATAGGGTAGAATATATCTTCCAAAAAGACAAATTTCATGTCATTCAAACTACAAATGCCCTGGTACGGCCGAGAGTGGGGAGAGTCAGCTCTCCCTCTCGAAATGCTCTTACATGACCACGCGTATATAGTCTCTGCCAGGGAAGTCCTACTCACTGCCTTCTCGCACCATTAATGTTGTTTACGAATTGAGAGGACGAAAAGCGAATGTCCGGCGCTTTAACCGGGTCGGTGGACATGGAGATTCCACCTAGGGGAGTTGGAAAATCCTGATTCCAAACCATTGGTGTACATGGGCTCCGGGATCCTGAGGGAACAAATGTCGTATGAACCAATCGTTGGTCACCGGCTTTCATAGGACTGCATCTTCCTACGTTGCTCCACTGCATTGTGGATCAGACCTTCAAGTCGAAGGCTCCGGTTGTGGTCCCCTAAGAAAACCACCTGCTTCGGTTTGGGTAACCGGGCAGTATCGCAGCCCTCACACATATCAAATGAAACTTGTGTTGCGCATATGTATTTGTTGCCTCCTTGTATCAATATCTATGTGTTAAAATATAAAACATAAATACCAATAGAATAAAATTTTGATTGAGTTTTTTTGTTTACAATAACCTACACCATTCACATTGATATTGCAATTGAAATTGTATCATTGATGTAAGATTCAAAATAAATGGACAGTAAAAGTATTGAAGGTTGAATACATATAAATAAATATAAAGACTGTTAAATATTTATAATAATAATAATAATAATAATAGTCTATTTCTAACATTGAATAATGAAAGACATTCTGGCATTAAATGTTCAATAATTAAAACAATCCATGTGAACTTTTTCTATTCTTCTCTTTTTTGGTATTACACATCAACAAGATGGTTCCTTTTTTGATGGAATTAACTAGACATAAAGAGAAATAGATAAGTATTAATAATAATAGACATGGTATTATTATAATAAATAATGATTTTTTTTATATGAATGAACAAGTAAACTATTTAAATGAATATTAAATAACTAATTAACTAATCATAGAACAATATAGACTACTTGATTGGGATTCGTGTAACTATCGTAACCAATGGTTAGAGACTGTGTGGGACATGGCTCAGAATCGATCGATCTGATAAGTTTTGCAAATTGGACGCTATATTCGTTTCCTAAACTATTCTATAACCCCTCAAGCTAGAACTATACAGCGACTTGAACACGAAAGAGTAGACTCAAAGTATGCGAGAAGTACTTTGCTCCAAGGTTCGTTTCAATGTCAGTCAGTCAGTAACAACGTAGAACTTCGTACGTACGTACATCAGTTCGAGTTGCTACACCACATTAGCATAGAAATGCAGTTGTCGATTCAAATCCCGTAGTGGTAGAGGTAATAAGAGTATAAGCAGTAATCGGGAAGATTAGTGTTTGGAGATGTTACTTAAAAAGTATAATACAGTGAAATAAATTTGAGAGGAGAAAAAAAAGAGACAAGGAGGAGTAAGGAGATCAAAATTTAGGAGAACACAAAGAGTTTATGCACCTGCGCCATTGCAAACGATCTTGAGCCATGTCATTCAAGGCCTCTAATAATCGGTTGCTATCATCTCGCGGTCCCCAACCAGGTAGTCTACACCTACCGACATGACTCAGTCCACTTGTCAGTGACTTCATAGACTTGTGCCATGTTTTGGTCTGGCCGCCTCTAGCTTTCTTCCAACCTACTCCTATACCACTGAACATCGCACGTCGAGGCAGTCGGTCGTTAGGCATACGTAACACGTGTCCAAGCCATCTCAACTAATGAAGTTTCAATGCAGAAAATAGAGAGTTTTTATAATATTTTGAATGTCTTTGGGTTGCTAGAATATTCTGGAATGCTACTAAACATAGTAACAGTGTAGCGGTCAGCCAATCAGAACCTCTGCATGTGACGTTTCGCTCCCTTGATATTTTTGGCTAAAACTTCAAGTGAACGCTGATTGGAGGAAACGCGTCTTAGTGTTTCCTGATCCTTGCTTGTCTTTGGCGAGAAATCTGCCGGATCACCCCGACACGATCACAATGGCATAGGTGTATACACTTTCTATCTTCCCTTAAACTATGAAATTAAAATTATTTCATATCTTTCTTTCTACAAACTAATTCTTTCTTTCTGGACTATATCCTTACATAAAATCTTTCCTTTATATATTACAGCATTGAGTTAACTGCTTCTATGAATTTGGTGTTCGTCTTACTGTGCTAATGAGGTATGGCAACTTGGACCGATGCATATATGTGCCTGGACCGACGTTGTAGCTGACTGATAGACATCGAACACACACACACATAAATCATACGTCAGGATTATTCCTCAGTTACAAAACGAATTCAAGATATGACTTATTTTCTTCTGAATTAACATATATCTAAAATTGTATGGAGAGGATTTGTAGCTTAATTCTATCTGAAATTTTCACTGATGGTGTTGTCCAAGAGGAGATTGTAATCATGACGAAAATATGTATCTACATTAAAGAACAAAACTCTGCTGGAATTCTGTATGTTCAGGATGGGTTATAATTAGTTACAAAAAGATTTCCTTGACACAAACTTCGTATTGGTAAAGGATAGTAAATCAGTTGATGAGGTTGTGAATCTTCATCAACTGAGATGGTTGGGCCACGTGTTACGTATGCCTGAACACCGATTACCACAACGTGCAATGCTAACCGGTGTTGGGGATGGTTGGAAGAAAGTTAGGGGCAGCCAAACCAAAACGTGGCATCAGTCCACAAAGTCACTAACTTCTAGTCTGAGCCATGTTGGTAGATGCAGACTACTTGGTTGGGGTCCGCGCTACTATCGTAATCAATGTGTGTAGACGCTGAGTGACATAGCTCAGGATCGATCACAATGGTGTATACACTCTTTGTCTGTTCTTAAACTGTGTGATTAAAATTACTTAGTATGTTTCTTTATACGAACTAATTCTTTCTTCTTGTATTATATCTTTCTACACAATCTTTTATGTATTACGACAATTGAATCAACTGCTTCTATGAGTTTGGTTTTCATCTTGTTATACTAATGGTGTATGACAACTTGGACCGACTCATATATGTGCCTGGTCCTACGTTGTAGATGATGACTAACTGTCCCATAAATTACCACTCAAAATGTCATAAAGTGTGGAACTAGTAATCCGAGAAATAAAAAATTTGAATAGTTTCAAGTTACTTTAATTTTTAATGCGAACTTACGTAAATATATAAGTTCATATTGATGATTAGTAGTTTCGATAGTAAATTTTGTTATGTATTAAGCCAGTTGTAAAATTCTCGTTTAATTACTAGACTACTTTATCTAGTAATCAGTAGTTAGCCGTTTTAGCTTATACCTCTTAGTAGTTAAATGAATTATCTACAAACTAGCTGTTCTATTATCGAGTGAAATAAAAAGATTTTTTCGATGTTTTTTGGATAAACATTTTAAGTGAATTCGACCATTATTTCAGTGAATTTTCGACAAAACATAACCATTTTTATTGTAATAAAGCCATATGAACAGTGAACAATTGTTAATTTTATGAAACTGAAACACTTTGGATAATGCAGAATAGACGAAACATGGCTAGTAGTGAAATCCAGAATGGGCCTTTCATCTGGATGGACCTGAATCTCAGAGTTGATATCCACTCCAGAATTCGAACCTAGTGCTTTTTAGCTTTGAACATCATCATGTTATCTGATTAACTAGAGTCTAGATGGCCACTCACACGTGTAATGAATATGAGTTTTAATGCAATTTGAAATGGTTCGGATTATCCCGAGCTGACGAGTTTCAAACAGGACAAAAAGCGCGTCCTGGATTCCACTGTTAGCTATAGTCTATCTATTCTATGTAAACTTGCGGCATACTGACTATATCGAGGCAATCCGCACAGGATGCACATAAGTCAAGTAAGACTGATCGAATTCCAGTTAAAATATCAACAACTGGATAATCCAAGCCACTTCACTTTGAATAATGTATAGTACTGCTACTCATGAGGATTTAGGACAGATTTTATAAGTATTAAATAAATATTTTTCACTTACCTTAGTTACAGTACCACCAGCAATTGATTCACCGCCAACACGAAGCATAAATCGTCCAAGAGGTTTACATTTTTCATAAACTTCTATACAAATCGGTCTTTCAAATGTTAACTCTACATTTGCTGTACAATTACCAAGAAGACATCTAAAGAATAAAGAAATTAATGCAAGGTAATATTTAGAAAAATATTCACTAACAATTTGTGAATGTTTCAAGCACAAAACACAACAAAATCACAGACTACATAATATCATAACAATGTTTTTTGTTGATCAAATACATTGACTAGGGTGCACTTTACATTTTTTAAAAGGGTCTGCTTGTTCAGAGCCCTTTATAAGCCTGCGCACCTAAAACTCTTCACAGAACTAAACATATCGGTATTGTAGTAAACATAAAAAATTTAGGCCGACAAGATGGAATAAAATATTTTACATTTAAAAACTCAATATCAACATTATTGGTGAACTACTGGCTTATCCTCAACTTTACTAGTTATAGCTGGTTATTTGTTTAAATATATAAATATTGGTACAATGAGGTACCAAATAGATATGCACCACATAAATCATTCGATTTGTATGAGGGCTTGATAACTGCCGGATGCCAAAACTGAAGCGGATGGCTTTCTTATGGAGTCACTCTCCGAGCCTTCGACCTATAGGTCTATCCCACAAGGCAGTGGATCAATATCATGAGATACAGTCCCATGGCAGCCGGTGACCAACAATAGGTTCATACGCCTTTTGTTCATTCAGGATCCTAGAGCTCATGTGCACTATTGGTTTGGGATGAGGGTTTTCCAACTGTCATAGGTGGATTCTCTGTATTCACTAACCCTTTAAAAGCGCTGGACATTCGGTTCTTGTCCTCTCAATTTCTTAAACAACATACCCGCTGCGAGAAGGTAATGAGTAGGACTTCCTTGATAGTGACTGTACACACGTGGTCATGTGAGAGTTGACTCTCCTTATTGTCGGTCGTACCAGGGAATTTGGAGGCCATAGCTGGTACTCATTAGATCCTCAGAAATCTGTCTCGAATTTGATTTGGGCCCTTCATTGTACTAGTAACAAAGAGTCTCAAACGTGTTTAAAACTGTTCAACGCTCCGTGTGTCACAATTTTCCCAATACCGATAACTTCATTCGATGAAAACCACTTTTAAACTATACAAATCTCCTTACAAAACGTTTTAATCTATTTTCTCGAAACTAATGTATCTCACACCAATATATATATACTACTTATCTTGACAGACATAAGTAACATACACAGCACCACAACTGAGTTATAATTACCAAACAGACAACTAGTGATATCTTGACAAATTCATAAAAACACGTTATCTTAAGGCTACACTCTTTAGGATCATAATCAAAGATTATGATGATAGGATTCTATGTGTAGAATAATATGCTTTAATATGGAAGATCAACTGGCTGACCTTGGTTTTCGAACAACTTTTTCTATTTTGTTTTCTCGATAAGTCATGGATTTTAATTTAGTAATAGTAGCTGCAACATTGGCACAATTATAATAGTATATAACCTGAAAAGAGATAAGTAGAGAATATTCAATTTACAATTCTAAAATAAAAAACTGAATATCAACTGCTAATGTGTATAAATTGGAATACTACAATACAGTTAAAACTAACCAATAGTAACCTTTTTATACATTGTCATTTATATACAAAGAGAAAAACCCATTAAACATGACAGAAGTTATACTTTAAAATTAATTTGTTCACATAACTCAAAAATTGTTTTTTTTACTTGATCACATAAAACTACTGTGATATGTATTTCAGTAGTAAAGAGAAATTCCTTTACATTTTAATCGAAAATAACAAGGTGATTTCAAATAAGGTGGATTTTATTATAATGTTGTTGAATAATATTATCAAAATTCATTATAGTTATACCTTAGATGAACTTTCTACTTCATTATGTTAGCTAAAATCAAAGTCAGAATTTTCATTACAAACGGCAAGAAAGTTCAACTGTATGTAGATGAAAATTGGAGAACTACTGCAAACGTCATCGAAAAAGTGAAAGTATTTATAAACAATTGTCTACGCAAGATACTACAAATCTGTTGACCCGATACTATCAGCAACAACATGCTATGGCAGATAAAGAGTAAATTATAAAAAAACGATAAAGGTAGGTATGATATATATTGCAGAAAGCATTGAAATGCATCACAAGGCAATTCCTGACATGGAATCTGCAAGGTAAAATGTAAAGCATATCAAAGAACACATAGCGCCAGGGACCGGAGGTAGATATTAAAGGAATGAATAGCACTTTACAAATCTGGAAAGCAGAGCCCAGGACAGTGTTGGTTGGAGAATCCTGATCGGCGGCTTATGCTTCTCCACTAGATGTAACAGACGTAAGTTGTGAGTTGTAAGCAACATGTGTATTTTATACTGGATTTCGATTGACAGAGTAATACATATATAACCGAAATATAACAGAAGTTCATGAATATCCGCAATCAACTCTTCGAAAATTTATCTTCAAAAGACCAATTAACTATATATTACTGACCAATATAGTGTAAATAATAAAACATTCAACTACTACACACAAAAGACTTGGAAATTCCTACGTTCATTAATTGTGACAACATTTAGTTGTTAATTAAATGGAAGCTGTCGATTGAAAAGAATGATAATTTAATATTGTGATACGTTTTTTCAATGGTGTTACTTAGTCAGTGTCAGCTACAACGTAGGATCAGGCACATAAATGCATAGGTCCAAGTTGCCATACCTCATTAGCATAGCAAGATGAACAGCGGATTCATAGGAATAGTTACTTCAATTGTGGTAATATATAAAAGAAAGATTGCATATAAGGATATAGGACAGAAAGATTTAGTACGTATAGAGAAAGATATGATGTTCCATGAATGTATATCAATGCGACAAGCAAATAAACTTCCTGTTCATTCGGTGCAACACAAAAACACCAGGAGCAAGGATTTCAGCAAGACTGAGTTCACTGAGTTAGACAATTTGAAAATATTGAAAACTAGAACCATTATAGAATGACTGGATGCTCAAATATACCGAAAGAAAGAGCACATATACAAATTAAATTCTTAAATACAATGACAACTATAGAAAAATTTGCAAAATCAACTTTTAATCAAAAGAGTGACGACACATTGCAACACACCAATTATACGGAGAAATGAAGTAAGGCACCAACTTTCAAAAGAACAACTGCTCACCCCAATTTCATCAAATAATATTTATCAAACTCATTAACAAGTAAATAAAATCAAACATAGAAAATAACAAACGAAATATCCTACTATATATGAAGAAAATATTGGAGAATACAAATTGACTGTTGAAATGTAGGCGTATCTTATAAACCATCCAACGCTATGCAAACAGAAAAAAACACAATAACAAGAGAAGTGTGGTATTATTGACAAAATAAATTGTTTCATCTGTGAAAAACACAGTAACATCTAGAAATGATATTGCTGATTGAATAATATTCAACTAACATAAATGAGGCAAGATTCATAAGGTAAACAGAACAGTAAAAACAATAAGGACAATCAACGAAACTGACAATAATGACACTTACAGGATAACCTTTCGTAATAGGTTGTTGTATAGAGAATACTAACAATTTAGCTGAAATACAAGTGGATGGTTGTATTGGATTGTCTGGATCAGTAAGTAAATCACCAGGAATAAGAGTTTGAAATGGATCAATATCTGTCAACATCAACGCCACTTGATCACCGGCAAATGCAAATTTAACAACTTGATCTAATAATTTGCCTCCAAGATCACCTGAAAGACATATATGTAAACGAATAGTGATCAGGCATGTTTAATGCACGTCAAAGTAACCGCTTTCCCTGAAACGCAGTGTTCGCTAGCATAAGGATTTTGATTAACATTACAAATGGAAATATTAAAGCCATTCTTATTACTATAAGGAAAGATGGATAGTGGCTAGCAATGGGAGTCCAGTTTGATGCGCATTTCGTCCTATCTGGGACTCGTCAGCTGGATGTATCTGCGCCTGAGTGTTGATGTTCACCCTGGGACTCGAACCCAGTGCCGTTCGCTTCAAATCCCATCGCGTTGTCCACTTAGCTACTGAGTCCTGATAGCCACCTGCTTGTGCAAGTGGCAAACAACACAAGTGGGTTATTAAGTTTATTTGATGATAATCAGTCACATCATTGATGATGATTTCATTTATTGTTTACACATTATATCTGTTGAGTACACTATCATGTTATCAATTAATAACATAACATCTTTAATCATAAGTCTACTTAAACACTGGTTACTGACTTCCTAAGCTGTTCTCTATATCCCCAGACTAATTCTACACTTGAAATTCAACAGTACAGAAACGATGCAAAATAGGAGTAGAAGCTTTACTCCGAGGTTAATCCATGTACAAAACATCGAGTTTATAGGTTTTCGGATGATCTTGATCTTGTAGAAACTTCTGAGAAGGTAGCAACATAAATAACTAACCAATCAAGATGTGATTCATAAAACTTCATATTTCAAATGCTTCTGAGAAACTTCTACTCAATCGTTATTGGACAGGATATTTCTAACCTTTTCTGTGTTTTTACAGACTATTAATGGATATGTATGCGCTCCCAACAATACGCTACAATTATCTCGAAGACACTAACCTTGAAATCTGCAGATAACATGGCTTAGTCCAATAGTCTATGGAGTACATAGGAATGATACCATATTTTGATGTAGCCACCCCTGAATACATTTACAACCTATTCCTATGGTAGTGGACAGACTAAAACCTCAATATAAATCAACTTTATTATAACTTAAGATCAAATATATATAACAGCAGAAAAAGTGAAATTGTTGAGTAGGCTTTCGGAGAACTTCAACGGAGCCTCCAGAGGCCCAAAAGGAGCCGAAGAGTCCTAGCCAATCAGAGCACGATGGAGCATTCTAGAATTCCAACGTGGCGTGCTACTATTGGTCAGTAGCATAATATGTCGCTAACGGATTAGGCGAAATATGATGTTGATTTAACAAACGTTAACATCTATAAATACCCATGTTTTTCTGTACAAGGACGAACCTTGGAGTAAAGTATTTCTCTCATACTTTACGTCTTCTCCCTGGTGTTTAGGTCGCTGTGTAGTTCTAACTTGCGGGTTACCAGAATAGCTTAGGAAAAGAATATAGCGTTTAATTCGCAAGACTTATCAGAAGTATTATGCTATTTATATGATCGTGTTCAAAAAATGACGTCACTGTTTAGTACCATAAATACTCTGAGATTATTGAAACTATCAGTATAATCAGTAATGCACATTTCATCTAACATAATTTAAAACTTTGAAGTAAATTTCAAACTTCTAAGAAGAAAAGCGATAGAAGTGATAATACAAAAGATTTCTAATTCTAGCTGTTCAACGGGGTTATTAACCATTGGAATAAAAGTAGATTCCCTCTGACTTGTGAACTTTATAATTAGACAATAAATGTCTTTAATTCTAAATTCTAAATACTACTACAGAACTAATAAAATAGGGTTGGAAGATAAAATTGCAAAATATTCACAAAACAAGTTTACATGGTAATTTGAACCTTTAGATTGACAGTGGAAACAATAATGAATCCTTCTAGAATATATATATACCTCAAATGTTATGTTTATAGAAAGAATGTGAAACAATTCAATTCAATAAACTAACCTTCAGCATCATTTTGACTTGTACGAGTATTACACAATGATCTGATAGATTTCACACAAGTTCGTACATCACTTGGCAAACAAATAACTTTACTTGTAGGTATATTTACACCACTAGAAATAGCTCCAGATATAACTCGTCCAGCAACCATTGGTACACTGGAACCAGCAGGTTTAAATATATCACTGACAACAAAACGAAAAGGTCCATCAACAGTTCTATCTGGTGATGGAATTGAATCTAATTAAATAAATAAATTATTTTAGTTAAAATATGTTATAATTAAATGAATAACATGAAAATGTAAATTATTTATTTGATTAAGCTTTATAATTGAACAAAATCATTGAAATACTTATGAAACTTTCACATTCGTCAAAAAAAGGGAGAAGTCTAGCTTAATAGTATGACCATGAAATTGTTTTGAAAGCTAATGAAATAACATTTGATAGATAGACAATTATATCATGTTAGTTTTAATCTAATATATTTGAGCGCATAAATATTGGGACAAGAAAGCACCAAATAGATATGCGCCACACAAAACAATGAGAATGGGAAGAGAAAAAAGAAGGTAAGGTGTGTGTATAAGGAAAAAACGAACGATAACGACCACAGATTGGTGTAAAGTAGTGTAATAATAATAATGGGGGAAACGGACAGATACAACCAGAAGAAATCTTTCAGTTAAAGAAGATACAACCGCTTTTTTATGAAGAAAGTAAAAGAAGGTTACAGCAGGATCGACACTGGCCTCTATTCTGAGCCACTGTGTTACATTAATTGTAAGCCCCCAAATACCCTAGTATGGCCGAGAGTGGGGATAGTCCGCTCTCCCTCTCGAAATGCTCTCACACGGCCACGCGTATACAGCCCCTACCAGGGAAGTCCTACTCACCGCCTTCTCGTGGTGGGGGTGTTGTTTACGAAATTGAGAGGACGAAAAGCGAATGTCTGGCGCTTTAACCAGATTCCAAACCAATGGTGCACATGGGCTCCAGTATCCTGAGGGAACAAATGGCGTATGCACCAATTGTTGGTCACCGGCTACCATGGGACTGCATCTCCTTACGATGCTCCACTGCCTTGTGGGTCAGACCTTTAGGCCAAAGGCTCTGGGTGTGGCCCCCTAAGAAAACCACCTGGTTCGGTTTGGGCACCCAGGCAGTATCACAGCCCTCGCACAAATCGAATGACTTATGTGACTCAAATGTATTTGGTGCCTCCTTGTACAAATGTTTATGTGTTTAAATAAATAAATAATTGTAACAATTATCAACACTAAGCTATATTTTATTATGTACCGAATTAAATTAATACAAGTTTAAATTTTTGGCTTACATTATGCTATGAAAACATCAAAAGAAATCTACTTTATATCTAATTAAATTATCACAAATACATCGTCATTTTATCATTAACATTCTATGCAATACTCGGTTTATTTGAGTTTATTAGCTCTAAACTTAGTAATTATACTTTACTTAAACTTATTCTTATCATTCATAGTCTCAAATCGAACGAACGGAAGGCAAGGGAAAAGTTTATGTGTAAGTGTACGGAATGTACAGAAATGGGTGTGTTTGTAGTTTTTTGCTATAGGTTATATCATTATAATCCAGCCAATCTGCAAGTAGGAAATTTATACAATTGCTCAATCATAGCATGACACATTGTTATCCTAGAAGGTTCTATTAGTTTCTGATTGGATGGAGTCTCTTCGGCGCCTTTAGATCCTCTGGAGGCCTCGTCGCGCTTTCTGGAAGCCTTCCCAACAAAAAGCATACTCCTTTAAACGCAAAATTTATCTGAAATATAATTTAGTAATAATTGATACTGTTTTCATATACAAAAGGTAAACCGTCAACTAAATTGCATCCCCACTAACGTAAAAATGTCCGAAAACATTGATATCTTCATCATTATTAGTATCACAGATCTTGAATTGTCATTCTGTCGACTTTCGAGTGACTTACTAAAAATTGCAAAAGCTGTGATTGTTTATAAGAGTAAGTAATTATGACTTGATAAAAGACAAACATAAACTGATCTCAATAAATGAGCTTTTGTAGTGGAAAAACGTCGATTATAAACCTTGGAATTTACTTATAAGCCATGTAATGTCAAAATATGTATTTAGCCTCCACCGATTTTCTCAAAAGCGATAGATTATGAATTTCGAAAGACCAGCGTACTCATTCGATAATAATGATAATAGTAATAACAATAATAACAAGGGACTTAAAACTTTCAAGGTACATAGGTGTATCTATGAATTTACATGTATTTGTGATGGCAAGTGTAAAGGAAGGAGAGAGAGAGAGAAGGAATTCTACTAGGTTTTCCGAACACATTCCTAGAAACCTATAGCTGAAACGGAGTATAGTCATCACAAGTGCAACTGCCAGATACCTTTAAGATAGTGGATATCAAGTGAATGTAAGTTATGCGTTCAAAATATTTAACAGACAAGATGGTTGTTGTACAGGTTTGATTATCATATTGCGACCTATAGATGAAACAATATAAATAGATACATACTTGTAAATCAGTTTTTTTCTGTTGATTTAATGTGACAGCTAGGGACGATGAACAGGTCCTATGTTGATTATGACGACGACATTGACAGAGAAACAAGATTGTTTGTAAGAACACTAGAGTCACACGTAATACAATGAGGGATTATTTATATCAATAGCATTTAAATGAAAGCACCATCAGTTCCAGAAGCAATAAATGATAAACAATTACAGAACCACTACTTACCGATAAGTTCGAGTAACGAAGGTCCCGTATACCACGTAAACAGGTTAGAACCTGTCTCTGAAGTATTTTTACTGCTATTGGACAAATTTTGAGGTACTAAGTTAGCCCCGACCAACCCAGATACTGGACAATACACAACTCCGGAAAAATTCATAGATTTTAAAAAACTAGATATTTGTGTCTGAATTTCATTGAATCGTGACTGACACCATTCTACTGTATCCATTTTGTTTACAGCGACAATTAAACGAGAAACTCCTAATAAACGAGCCAATCGAGCATGTTCCCTTGTCTGACCTCCAGCACCAATTCCAGTTTCAAATTCACCCCGAGTAGCATTGATAACTAGGAGAGCAGCATCAGCTTGAGTCGCACCGCCAATAACTTGTGGAACAAAATCCTTATGTCCAGGAGCATCCATTAGAGCAACCTTTGCATATCGAATAAAAATAAGTATCGTTTCAATACACAGTATGTAATGAATCAAGGTTAGGAAGAAGATATATATTGTCTTTAGTGACAATTTATTAAGAATAACTCATTATCCACTTACTGTTTAGAACATCTTTTTACCACCTAAACACATTGTTTTTGCACCACACAAACATAAATCATCAGATGTATGAATAAAGTCAGGAAACAGGATTTTAATAGAGTAAAAATTAACGTATAAATGTTGACTTAATCACTCATAATATAACTCGATAGCAAAGTACAAGTTAATGCACATCATTTTGAGTTAATTATTGAAAGTGAATTGAATTGGGCCCTGAAACTATAACCTAATTAGCTACAATTTATGTTTTTAAATAATTAAACTTCACTGTTCAATAAACAAAAATAGAAGGCAAATACAGATGTCATTAGTTCTTATAAACCGAGGAAACACTTAATGCTTCAATTCACTGGAAACGTTAATGTCTTAAAAGTTAAAGGATTTGTCGTTTGAATGTAGATTAGAGTTACATTCCATCTACTTATATTTTGACAGTATCACATAATAAAATTGTCGATATATCTGATGATTGAATGAGATTGGAAGTGAAGAATGAAAGGTATAGAATTATATGCTGACGTAAAGAACTTACAAGATAATAAAATATGTATTGTTGCGATTGAATTCAAGCTGAATATGAGCTTCGATAAAGAAGCCTGTACCTCACCATAAATAATTAATAATATGGTAGTTAAGTCTTTTTTAGCTTTTTATTTTAGCTTACAGTATGGTCAACATATGTTACTCCCGTCATCAATATAGAAAACCTACTGACGATATCTAGTCAGTTGTGACCAATATACGACTTCTTCAGTTATGGGAATCCAACCAAGTTGTCACAAATATCAATTTAATAAGATTAAAAAGAATATACTGTGCCATTGACGGCAATAAAAGACTAACAAATATAGATTTAAGAGAATGAATGAAATTTTAAAAAATGTGAAGTAGGAAATAATGTTAAAGCTCAAGATCTGCAGAAAGCATAAGCATGAATACATCGATGTCATTAAAACCGATTTCAAGCTAAATCACTTATCTTCTGTAACCATAGATTACGGTTAGCAGTGGCTTAGTGGTTAAGGCATTTGGCTTCCAACCCACTAAGTTAGAAGTTCGAATTCAGTTTCATCTACTTTGGCTAGGACAACGAGGTTGTAGTCTCACTAATACTCGCAAATAGAATGTGACTCGAAGTTAAGTACACAAATATGTACTTAGTATATGTTGACTAGAAGACTGAACTACATAACTCAAATTAACAGTTAGTAACCTCATGAGTTGATGATTCTAAATGTTTTATTTTCGTTACTGTTAGCCCTTTCCAAGCCTATCCCCATTGTACCTAGTATAACTTATTATAGTAAATGGTGACTGAATATCCGTAATACGTGTCCACATAAACCCAGTTGGTTAGATTATAATTTATGGACGACTTTTGATGGATGCCTAAGTGACCTTAAGAATGTCGACCAACTTACTAGCATTAAATGAAGGTTATAAATTAGTGTGGAGAATTCGGATTAGGATTTACGGCTGGACAGTAGAGTTAGGAACTAGAGTAAGGTTTTTCATCACGATCTAACATCAGCTATAATGCCAAAATATTACTAAACCATATGGATGAACGAATTTCGCACCAAAATCCCAGACCTGATATCCTAAATCTGATTTGTTCGTCCATATATTATGGTCTTGCCGTATTAATTCACCAATGTTCCTTCCTAAAAAGATTGACTATGATTAGCCTTAAACACAATGAAAATCACAAATTAGGCATCGGAAAATATTTATGTTCATATAATGTAGATTTTGAAAGCATAGATATAACCACATAGAAATATGAATATATAAATCATACTTCTAATCTCTTACTCGTTTTGATTTTGTTTCAAATGAAGTTTGTGCAATATCCATTGTAACGCCACGATTTCTTTCCTCTGAGGTTTGATCTAGAATCCATGCATAGGCGAATGATGCTTTGCCCAGTTTTTGTGCATCCCATTGGTATTTAGCTAATTGTTTGCTAGAAACATGTCCCAACAAACAAAGTAGATTTCCCATTAGAGTGCTTTTACCAGCATCCACATGTCCTATTTAAAAAAAAAACAAATATATACATATTAACATTGAAAAGTTTTTAAGACCCTATAAACAGTATACTGAACTGGTGACAGGATATCTTACATTGTTGATAGTTAACATGAGATTTATGGTAAGATACCACGCTAATATACATTAATATACGCTAACAGTTTCAATTAGAAATAGTGAGATATTATTAGGAAAGAGAAAAATTTAGTTATACTTGTTAGCTTAAGTAATTTAATCCATAGACATTGTAAATTGTACACACGTACTAGGCTAATTGATTAGTTTATGCCAAGTACTGCCTAGATCAATGTACACAAATTCAACTGTTGACCAGATAATCAGATTATATGTAACTCAGTGTATTATGGTATAGTTTTGATTAGCATTAGATCAGTTTTGAATTTACTATTGATCCATAATAAAATCTTTATCTGAAGTCTTTCTTTCTTGAGTTAGGCTACATCAATCTTTGACCAGTTATGACAAGTAGTTGTACTAGTGTTTCGTTTTAGTTACAACAGATATTATTTTGCCTATCGTCTCTAGAAACATATCTACATTCCCGTGAATGGTGTATTATTAATGTTTGACACAAAATATAGTCAACGTACCTCATCCGGCACTGGTTCATAGTTTCACTAAATAATTTACTTAACCTTAATGCAAATCAATTGGTAATTTGGACAAGTGAGAATGATACCCAAAATCATTGTGACTAGAAATATTGTCATCTTACACTTAGTATTCAGTGACCGTAATAAAGAATGGGGTGCAGTGTTGATGTCATGCACATATTTAGACTAGCAGTACAACTTGGTAGGTGTAAAAAAAACAGAAATCAAAACAATATCGTACAGAAATAAGTCGAGATAGTACAGTTAAAAGCAAGAATGTACAATCATGATACAAAAAAGTAAACGACATTGGTATAGCTGAACAAAATAGACTGTTGTAACTTATGCTTAATTGAAGCCAGTTGTTTAACGAAGGCGACTCATGCACAATGGACGTGGTGAGTGTTTCAGGGGAAGTGTAAGCCATGATCGATAAAAAACCACCGATGACAGCATTAAACGCCTACTACAACATTGACCCTTTTTGACCTTGTATGACTATGTCTTGTTCATTCAGCAATTACAATCTTTTATGTTTGTCATAAAAGATATTAAGTTTCGCTGATTCACTTTTCCTATCCTCTAGTTACTGTCCGGTATGTTATGTCGCTTTTTATTCTTGTCTATTAGACTGTATCAATCGTTTTTTGTATACTAATGGTGTTACTTTGTTTTAGAAAGATAGTTTATCAAGCCAAACAACTGACTTGTTATGACTTTGACAAGACTCCATGTTGGACAGACTGAAAATTAGTCAAGAATTGAGTTTGTGGGAAATTACTCCCTACAACAAAGTCAACACACGAGACATTTTCTCGTCACTAAAGACGAGGATGATAGGTGCCTACATAAAAATGTGAAGCGCAATCGCAAATAATCGATAGAATTCGGCCAGTCCTAAGGACTAGACACACAGGACATTGGCCACTGTAAATATCATAGTTCCACAACAAGTCAGTAGCGACCTGAATAACTTGGTGGTAATATCTCGAACTGCGAAGCGAGGTGAAGCAAGTTCAAGTCCAGGAAATAACGTTAGTTCCTTTAAGATTCCAGGGGCTCCTTGCTGATGAGTTTCAACTAGCAAGAAACCCAGCTCCACAGTCTCTTAGCAACTACTACTAACCACCAAAATCGTAGATTTATAAAGGTAATTATTATCCAGTGAAAAAGCATACATTGATAACATTTTAGGCAGGAAGAATTAGTTAAACTTACCCATAACGATAAGATTAATAATCTCTTTTTCTGCTGACTCTTTATGCAATTTAGAATATTCGTTTACCAAAGAATGCCGGTCAATGGGTTTACTAGGAGTTGCTGAATTATTGCCCGGAGTACGTAAGAAGTTAGAACGTTCATCAGAATGACTAGAGATAGTCAATTTCTGAGAAAGAGATAAATTTAATAATGATGTATCAGCATGATTGATCCCTTCCGTAGGACGTGCTTGAGGTACACATAAAGCTGCATACATCAACATTGATACAAAAAGAAGTATTAGCAATATTTTCCCGACCTTGTATATATCAGACATCAAACAAACCGACAAGACGAAAAATTCACTTACAGCTGAATAGTCACTGAGTAATGACGTGTCATGTTTGTTTAGTCATTTTTAGTGTTGATCGAGTTCTGTTGATTAAGTTGCAGTGTAGCCACTAGTCCAAATGACTCTACATCGCATGCACTATGTTGAGATATCAAGTTATTGGAGGTAATCGATAGGAAACCCTGAATCTAAGTCTCGTGCTATTTGGTTCTCACCATTAAAGTATAACTGTGATCTTGAGGAAGTTGATCCTCCGTTACCTAGCATCAATTTTCTCAAAACTGCAGGCACATAGTGCTGATGAGTTCCAGATAACACAAAACCAAGATACAATACACCCTATAAACTACTCATAACCGCTTAACAAGGTCTACTTGTTGATTTTAATTGTTTAACTCGATAGTAAAACCTCTCATTAAGGCACAGATTTAAGGAACCGTTCTTATGGTATGATTTTGAACAACAACTATGTGCGAACAATTGCCTATGCGATAAAACCACTGTAACGCAATGACTTAATCTTTCTCAAAATTTGAGTTGACCGTGATTCATAATTACTTATTCTTTAATTGAATTTGTTGGTTGCATCAACTTAAGACAAATAAACATACTTAACACGCAGGATTAATCAGTCAGTCAAACACAACGTAGAACCTAGCTGTTGTAAATCGGTTAAAGTTGCCATGCCCCACTAGCACAGCAAGATGAAATCTTCAGGACAAATACCATAGCACTATGCACAGTAACAGTATTATTAGTTACAGAAGAGATCAGGCACAAAATATACGACTCGGTAAAGTATGAATTAGTAAGATAAAACGATTATAAGGAATTTAGATACTTATGATCTAAGGGAACGCAAAGTGTAAGTGAATGTGAATAGTAGTACAATTGGTTTTATTTTTTCCAGACATTAAGAACAAGTAAGCACCTTCAGATGACTGACACATGATTTCTAATATTATGGTAAACAATTCTTATGTTCGAGATCATTTAGTCGAAGTACAGAAAACATTTTTGTTTGTAAAATAAATCGTTCATAAATCTGCATGAGTACTCATGAGAGCTAACCCCACGGTAACACTGTTTTGTTAAAGCGACTGTAAGATACTTTAATTCTTACTAGATGAAAACCTCTGCAATACTCAAAAAGCGTTAAATATATAACTGACGAATACATAATGTATAGCATACCATGTGCTGTGAGTTTCCGTTGACTGCACGGCTTTGTCGTTACACTAGCTAGTTTTGAACCACCACGTTCAAAAGTCTTTGGCTCCGGAATATCGAAAACAAATCCAGAGACAGTACGAGGTGCGAATAGGTAGTTATAAATGGGTGAACGGGTACGGACTATAATGTTTGAAAACCTTGATAACATTCCATCAAATCCTTTCGATTTATCAGCGGTATACGATGACATCAACAAGCCAAAGAAACTAGGAGTTTTATACCCTATGAGACACCCAGCACTGTTAATATTTTTTGTCGGAATATCATTAGTTGTAATGCCAGCTAACTTTGAAATACTACAGTTGGAGCTAAAAAGGTTAGTTGTTTTCGACAAAAAATGAAGGTCAGTTGATTTGGACTTAAGGCGATTTGTGGTATCTTGTACACTAACTGTGGTTTTAAAAGGCTTCTCAAACGACTGTTGAGCTGAAGAGGATTGTGAAGTTAAACGATCAAGCAACTCAAAATCCAACTCCTCTACTTTGGACTTATTTACAGAAATTGTACTGTTCACTAAGTTATCTCCCCCAACGACACTTGTGTTCAAACGTTTAAAATTACCTACGATTTATTAAAGAAATAAACCAAGGTGATAACCCACTTGAATCAAAAAGATCACTGTTGCCAAACACCTCATCAGATCCATGCACGTTATCATTTTGACCCGTAACTTCGTTAGTTTTTGGTGCGGAGAAATCAAATGCCTGACAAGACCCTATTCGTCCAGACACAACTCCAGGAGAATCTTCTGTGGAGTGAATAATCGATATTTAAGAAATAGACAGAACTGACCTGCTTTAAGGTTTTTGGAATCATTTTCCGGGAAATCTTCTGCTGTGAAACTTAATGGTTTGACATTCTTTAAAGATACTGATATGTCTTGCTTGAATACACTGTCCGGATTATATATGTATCGTTCTGATGTGTTCGGGGATATTGTATAGTCATCATCAACTGAACTAGCGAAGGCTTCGTCATAAGTATCGACATCTATTTATTAGTTCAGTTTCTATTAAAACAATGGTAACGCGTACCATCATCACACAACGCTCTTATGTTTCTGTGCCGCGACATGTACCGAAAAATTCACAACGCCACACTGAGTATTAAATGTCTCAATAAATGATGGTTCGAAAATAGTTCTGAATATTGCAGATGTAATAGAAGAAACTCTCGCTTAACGAAGTTTCGTATTAAGTAGCGACTGACTCCCTGTGTCTTTAGATAGGGACCTAAGGATGTAATATTTTAGCCTTAAAAGCGAGCACAACAATGTTGAAGTTTTACTTCTGAGATGCTAAGAGTGAATATTTTTGCAAACGAATCCAACTTATTATATAATTCCCATAAAAAATCACAAAAGATATGCGACCTAAAATGTTGGATAATGGAGATAATAGATTTCCATATCGTATATCGTTTGAGATGCTTATTTTTCGACTCACACTTTATCCTTTTGGAGATGGTTGGATCTGTGGAGCAACTGTTTACAAACTCCTTGGCTAGCACCCGTTGAAGCTGCGTTTTTGGTCAATTTCAGTCTTTTATACTTATCCTAATGTAAATATCAACGTTTTTCACTTGTGTTTAGCTTTGTTAATAATTTCCATAGGATATTACCTCTTCAATCAGTTGTGATTGTCTCTGGAAGTCATCTATATGGTAATTCATTGAATGAATCGCTTTTTGAGGACGACTTGCTGTTTAACAGCTACAAAATTCGGGTTTACGACATGTGAGCTTGTATATTACCAAGTGCTGTAAATCGGCTTCTCTTTGCATATTTAGTTGATTCACTTCAATGAAACTTCGGGACTTTTCAATCTAATAAAAAAACTGTCAGGTGACAACACAATTCCGTCGGTGAACCTAGGATGAAACTGTAAACATTGTTGATAACTTCAATCCTCATTCTGAACTGAAAGGTCAAGACTAACATCGCCTAACCGCCTAGGGAGAAATACTCTGATTCCGACCGTGACTGAGCGCAGTCGTAGGGTTTCTAGCTTTCAAAAAAGTAAATTGCCACCCTATAAAGCATACCTGATATAAATTTTGATATGGCAATGTGTATAGACGAATTATATATGAAGAGGCCATAAATCTCACATGAGACAAATTAGATCGTTTAATCGGGGAGGAAAGTCTAAAAGTTAAATCAACAAAGAGTAAAAGATAAAGTTTCCTCATTTGTTGTGGAGAAAGACAATGGCTCATTTGCAAGAGGTGGACACGATTCTCGATGAAACGCGATCAATTACTTCTAATATAGAGGAGTCGAAATACATGAAGTCCACTATACAGAATATATGATTCACAACTGGGTAAATCTGCTACTAGGAATGTAAAGTCGGCAGACGGTTTTGCAGTACATAATATTAAGTTATAAAAACTCAGGAATTTTTGAAAGCATGCGATTCAACCTTGAAGCTACTATTGAAGGAGGTGGCCTATAAAGGAAAGACCTACAAAACTCAAAACTTTGATGGGCACGTCCTGTTTGGTTGGTCACTTGGTAGCCGAATAAAGAAGAGAGAGGCTATATTATAGCTGAAACCTATACAGCAAACTGGAGAGACAAAATGTCTGTGGTGTACTGAAGTCCCACCCGTGAACCATCCATGTATTTACCCAACAGTAAACCTGCTGGATGGTCAGCAGACGAATTGACCGACTTTGGGATTAAGCTTTAACATCCGAAACTCCACCTTCACCTCTTCTAGAGAGTGTTGAGCGTGGGGTCGGCAACCATATCCTGCAGAAAACAACCTTGCTAAAAAAACGCTGGGCAGAATAAATAATTTAAACCATCCAAGCTCTACCCTGAGAGTTGGAGGAGAAATTATGAAGCCTCGTGACGAAAGCCGAAATTCTTCGGAAGTCACGAGTTCGATCCATTTTCTAACAACCACAGCAACAATTAACGTGGGTACATGGAATGTTCGGACAATGTTAGATACTGAGAGGGCCAGTCAGATGAAGAGATACAACTTGGCGGTGCTCGGGATCAGCGAAACCCATTGGACCCAAGCTGGACAGCAAGGTTTATATACGGGAGAGATGCAGCTGTACTCCTGTCAGGAAGAGGAAGATCCTCCGCAAACTCAAAGAATTACTCTGATGCTGTTCAGAGAAGCACGAAGTGCACTTATAGGATGGGAATCTCATGGGTCCAGGATTATCAGGCCATCCTTTAAAACAAAGATAGAGGGAATTGCAATCAATGTTATCCAGTGTTATGCACCCACCAATGACAGCAGTGAGGACGATAAACATCAGTTCTACGAGACTGTGCCGGCAATCATAGTAAAGTGCCCAAGGATCTCATTATTCTGATGGGAGATCTAAACGCCAGATATTAAGATAACATGGGACGACACGGACTGGGAGGAAGAAACGAAAACGAGGAGAGATTTGGAAACGTATGTGCACTCAATAAATTGTTTAGAGGTGGCACAATATTCCCCCACAAACACATACACAAAGCAACACGGGTTTCACCGGATCACACTACACAGAACAACATCAATCATGTTTGCATCACTAAAATATTTAAAACGTCGATGGAAGACGTGAGAACTAAGAGAGGAGCTGACATAGCTTTAAATCACTACCTGCTTGGGATTATCAAAATGAAGCTGAAGCCAAAAAGGCCATGGACAATTAAAGAAACAGCATTACAGAGGTTTAATACAGCCTTTCTTCAACATACTCACTCAACGAATTCAAGATAACTCTCAACAATAAGTTCCAAGCATTACAAGATCCACTGAAAGAAGAAGAAACTACTATGGAGGACAGTTAGAATGGGATCAAACAAGCACTAACGTCTGGTGGAGTTTTGTTCTCTGAGCTGGATGGTTTGGTCGTGGAGCTTTCATCGTTCTTCTGAACGACATCATCAGCACAAACTTCAGATAGAAGTGAATTGTCCGAATTTCTCCATATGCGTTTCACAGCTTGTTCTGTGCACCTCGATGTTGATTGGTTCTTGTTGACCTTAAATTGAGGTGAACAGTCCTGTTACGTCGAAGGATATCATGAGTTCGTCGTTGTTGATTTGGATATCCTTAATTTGGTCCAGGAATTGTGTTGGGGATTTGATGGAGTGTTTGGCTGAATCTACAAGATGTCTCAGTATTCGTGAAATTTCTTTTGACAAATTGTATGTTGGCGTTCCGGGGAGTGCTACTATTGGGCGTAGTGGAATGTTTGGTTTGTGTATTTTGGGTCTACCGTAGAATAGAGGGAGTACTGGTCCACTGGATTTCATTCTCCATTGATCTTGTTTTGCTATTTCTCCTGCTTTGACTAGCTTGTTTAAAGAACAGAAGGCCTTGAAAGAACTCAGAAATAGAAAAGATATTGTCGTAATACCAGCGGACAAAGTACGCACCACAGTAATCATGGACAAAGAAGAATACGTCAACAAAGCCGAAGAACTACTCGAAGATAAGAGCACATAAGGAAAATGTAGAAATCTTAGAGAAAACTCAAAAACACCAGAGAATTTTTAGAAGCCTAGCACTCAGGTCAATCAGCAATCAACAAGCATATTGAAATCAATCCAATTTATCAACCAATCAGAAAAATCATGCACAAACATAAGAACCAAAATCAAACCAATGGGAGACACAACCAAAACAAAGAAGTAAACAATGATAAATTTAAGGTCAACAAGAACCAATCAACATCGAGGTGCACAGAACAAGCTGTGAAACGCATATGGAGAAATTCGGACAATTCACTTCTATCTGAAGTTTGTGCTGATGATGTCGTACAGAAGAACGATGAAAGCTCCACGACCAAACCATCCAGATCAGAGAACAAAACTCCACCAAAATCATTCACCTGAGCTACAAATCTTCTCCATTATCTCAAGCACCAACTTCAGCGCGTCAGGAGTTTCTGTGCCACAAACGGCGTCATCATAAGCAGTGGATCTCAATGGAAATCCTGAACAAGATTCGAGAAGGGAAGAACAAAAAGACGGCAATTGTCAATAGCCGAACAAGAACAGAGAATGGCAAGACACAAGCTAAATAAATTGAAGCAAGCGAACAAGTGATGATAAGCATCGGTCAGCACCTAACATGGATATCCCTTGAACATATCAAGGTACTATGGCTGCTTTGAAGACTGAACAACACGAAGGACGTTATTACAGAAATAGATTAGTAAAAGTATGTACAAGGGATAAGTTGAGACCATCAGTGTATGGCCGGTCTATGGCGTGCAACTTATTGACGCGCTTTGGTTGTCCCTGACCCTGACGCGGATCGATAAACTGCTCGACAGTCCGTGACCCAACTTCCGGATGATTTGGCTGGGGCTCAGTGACATCTCGCTGGTCCTACAAGCTTCTGTTCATGCGTCCACCTATCGATAGGCGATTCATATAGTTTTGTGGTGAAATTAGTTCGTAGTCAAATGTACAAAACCTCAACGTAATGTGAAAGATTGCAATAAATCTTTCTGTGTCTATCGCTTTGCGTGTGTCTAGCCACATGCGCATAGGAAGGAGTCAACCTGATTTGTAGGTTTGGCTTTCAAAGCACGTCAAAATGTCTACAGAAACAAGTAATATCAAATGACCCGAAGAGTTAAGCTGATAAACATCTATCTCCCTTTATTGGTAAAAACAAGGTTGATGAGGGTCATAAGATCGATTTTAACTCAGTCTTTGTGGTTTTGCGCAAAGACTATTTAGGACGGATAAGACGGTTATGTCAAAAAAGAGCTCAAGTATTCATTGACTTCCTTATTTTTTATGGGCACAATATTTCCTTTTATCGTGTGTTGAATGTTGGAAAGCTTTGTGTGTTTGAACGAGTAGCCTCTCACTCCACAGTGTGTTGTTCCACGAGCTAAATAAAGGCATATTCACTACTAGTCTGGTTTCTTCTATCAATAGAACTAGGGGTGCTGGAACGAAAGACTAACTAAGGGCTACGTAGCAGTGTAAATAATTGGAACTATAATTTACGGTTTGTGGTCAGGATTAGGAGCTAGATTTAGGGCTTTCATCGTGAAGTGACATCAGCTAAAATGCCAAGATGTCATTTAGTCGAATGGATGAATGAATTCAGCTCC